CTATTAATTAAAAAACTTTAATGTGACAATATGAAACATTGGACTTCTCATACGATGAAAGAGTTAATACAGGTAGTTAAATGTAAAAGCCAGGTAAACAATACCAAACAATCTAAATTATTCAAAAGTGGTTTAGTGAAAACATTACATACAATTGGAGAAAGAGAAAACTAAATGAACATTCAATTACATAGCACAACAGCGAAAATGCAGGTTAGAAAAAAAAAATTATGTATCAGCTTAAAAACATATAAAGTTCACAACAATAAAAAATGCATATAAAATCAAAAGAATTTAGCCATATATTGTAATTTCTTTAGAATAACTGAGGGAGAAGGAGTAATATTAGGTCAGGCATTGACAAATCCTGGGTGCCAGGTCGCCATGGCAACTAGAAATTTCATCATAGTACCTGGTATTTTCTCCCATTTTATTTGTGGGTAGGGCTGTGCTAAATAGAACTCAATTCTAGAACAGCTATAGACTCTTGAAAGTCTGGAACTATTTTTGCATTCTTTGAGTCCTAAATTAAACTTCATTTCTATGATCTTAATGGTGGATTCAGCACTTCTTGTTTTTCAGTAATGAAACTCTGCAGTTGCACATGTTACTCATTTTACACCAATTTGTTTTCTTCTTTCTCTTAATTCAACCAATCAATGCACATGTTTAGAATAAGATGGAACCAAATGCAGTTAATTCAAACAATACTATCATGTGGTCATTAATATGCACTCAATGCTGTGAAAGTAAATAAATATACAATAGTACCTCAATTATCCATGCTGGTCCAGGGAAAGCAAAAAATTGCAGATAACAGAAACAGTGGATAATCAAGACACTAATATATCTCACTAGTTAGCCCATAGATTAATCTAAATAAAAGTTTCCAATATATTTAAGTTCCTTATTTTAAATTATAATCTTTCTACTGTTATTTAATTACATTATCATGAAAAATTATAAAAGTCATCACAAACATCATAATCATAAAAGCCAAGTGTCAGTCAGTCTTAATTTCTCCAATTTTCATGATTTACACGAGTCCAATTCAACTTTTGCTCCTATAATACTTCCTCTTTTGATTGTCAGTTCTCGTTTTAGTTGAACTTAATGTTTAAGATAGGTGTAAATAGCTCATAAATTTTGGCACTTTTTCTGCTATAGACACATAAGTGCATCTGCACCCTCTCAACTCCTATGAAAAATAAGTAAAAAATTAGTACAAATCTATGCTTGGGACTTATTACGAAAAAGCCTTTGTTAAAACAGGCTGAAGATACCAATTATCTGTAAGGAAGAGAACGATGCATAATTGGGCGACACCCAAACACAAACTGAACATGCTCTGAAGTTGAGCGAAATCTAAATCTAAATGTGTATTCTGTGTTTTTGTATAATGTTTTTAATCACTAATCAAATACAGTTAACCAAGCTACAAATATTTTGTATTCCTCTCTTAACAGCTAAAAAAGAAAGAAAAAAGACTAGGCTTGAGCTGGCCAACTTACGATCTGAATGAACACCAGATCCTGCACATGAAAACCCCAATATCATGCAACACCTGAACTTTTGCAACCAAAATTAATTTCTGAGTGACAATTTCTCCAAAACATGTAAAGTATTGTCTAGAATTGTAATGGCACAATTATTTTTGAGAAAATTTGGGGAAAATAAAAAAAATGGCAAATAATCAAGGTACTTAAAAAACAAAAAACTTGACCAAGAATTTTGTGAATAATGTGAAAAATTAGTGTAAGAACAAATTGGAAGAGAAGATGAAGATTAATCCTTACACCCAGCAGATGCTGCCAGCGTCTGGATGATAATTCCAGTTTATCCATTGGACAGTGACCAATAACATTTGTTTCTTTGGCTAAAAACTAATTATTAGGAAAACCTGAAAATAATTTCATCAGAACATGAAAACATTACGAGCTTAAAAAAAGAGTTAAAATAAACAAGTTGGAACATACACTTATTGTAGGGAAAAAAAATGCAAGAAAGAGACAGACAATTCATAGTTAAATTTAGTGAATGGAGAGGAAAGGAAAAGTTACTGATAATAAAGGGAAAGCTAAAAGGGACAACCATATATTTAGATGAAGATTATGCACTGGAAATGAGGAAGATCCAAGTGATGTTACATCAGATGGGCAGAGATGCAAGAGGAAAAGGAAGTAAAACAAAATTGGGACTTCAAAAACTGTGTGTAGATAGGAAATAGTTGAAGTGGAGTAAAGGAGAAGTAAAAGGCACAGAGCTGGCTGTGGGAGGACATATCAGAAGACCTATGAAAATGTATGGGCCAATCATCAATAAATAGGAACTCAAAAACTGATTGAATCCTTGGAAGAAACTAGAAAAAGACCCTTGTAATGAAACAGCAGGAACAAGGTAGTGTAGATTTTAACCTGAGATAAAACAATAAAATTACTTTTTTTTGAAGTATGAGGAGACTTTGTAACAAAAATGATTTTTAGGAATATATTTATAGTTTGACATTATTGTTTTAGTTGGAAGATGGGTTGAGAAGAAAAAAGAATCAACATGAGCGAAACAACTTCATGATGGATGTGAATGATATTTTAAGGAAGTTGTTAAGGAGAACACTCAAAGGAAAGCAAAGGTGGACAACTGGTTGAAACTGTCAAGAAATTTGTCTCCATTAATATCCTGTAATTCATGGAAGCTAGGAGTTACAATCTGGAAAGTCAATTTTCTGCAGATTTCTGAGTTTTTCTTCGTCATCTGGGTAATTTTCTGTGAATCTTGTAAATCCGGTTTAAAAATATAGGGGAGGGGGTTTCCCGACATTATCACGATGTTCCACATGCTTTCAATGTTTTGTAAACAAAAGGCCCGACTCCTCATTGGCTGCTCTCCATCTAAAAATCCACTGTGCAAGTGGTCTGGTTGCCTACATCATGCCAATGTGAAGACAGCAATTTTTCAGGTAAAATTGAAATAGAATTCATCAAAATCCATCTTTATAATTCACCATCCAACTTCAAAAACATAATCAGTAAACCACCTTCTTTTCATATGATGACATATCTGATAAATATGTCAAGCATCTATCCTAAAGTGAGTGATGAAACTTGGATGAAAACACTGTTGGAATTGTTTCGTCGCTGAGCCGATCAGTCACTTTTGTCAGTGCACGGAACTATTTTAACTACATGTCATGATGTAAATGGACACAACAACTTATAGATGAAAATGCTTCAACCTAAAAGGAATACTTTTATTCTGAAAACTGAAAATGTTTAAGTTCAGACAGGAACTTGGCTGGTTTTGTGTGGGTGATAATAGGGTTATTTATTAATTTAGCAAATACAATGATGGACTATTTATTTCACGGGTAACAAACAAGAATAGATAACTCCTTTACTGAGGAGAAAAAGTGAATTTTTCACAGAATACAGTGCACCCGAAAATATTCATATTTTGTGCCTCAAACATATTCAGAATCACCCTGAGAGCATATAATTTTCAAACATTTTTGGGGAGCTCACAGTGCCCCTGAACCCCCAACTGGATTTATTCTCGCTACCCGATCATAGTCCACTCTGCACGATTTCAGTTTTTTTATTTTTTCCTGTTGACATCTCTGTACAATAAGAAATTCCTGCAAGTGTGATAAATGGAGAATAATTACTATGTATAACAATCTTCGGATTGAAGAAACTTTGGACTTTGACAACAACTATCTATAAGATTAGTAAACTATTCTAATTGGAGACTTCAATGCGAGAACTGGTAATAAACTGGTGAGTGGATTTGGAGATCAAAGAATTAAAAGAGGGAATTCTGCTAGAGAGGAATTCTGAAGCTAAAATCTCCAATACTGAGACGAAAAACTAATGGATTGGTGCAATAATGAAGGATATTTAATTTTAAATGGATGAGTCACAGGTGACTATGAAGGAAAGCTGATTTATGACTAAAGTGGAAGAAGCACTGTCATTGACTATGTCATAGCAAAGAATGACACACAAAATTATATTATGGTAATGTATATTGCTGAAAGAATCAAATCTGGCCATCTACCAACTGATGTGAGGTTGAAAGATGAAACAGTACATGAGGAAGAAGAGATCCTTACAACAGAGTGGTATTATAAATGAAATCCAAGTAAAAGATTTGCATTCATAGCTAACCTGGAATATCAGTGGTGGCAAATAAAAACTGAGAGAGATAAGGAAAGGAGAATATAGGTCCTCAATGAAATTTTTAAGAGTGCCAAGGAAATTAGGATCAAACAAGACAAAAACTAAAGGAAGCATTATGGAAAATAACAGATAAAATATAAAGTTTTACTGAAAACAAACGTGTGAAATTTATTTAGGGGTTTTTAGAGATCATGGAAATGAGATTTTATATTTTTGAGATGAAGAAAAATATTTTTAATCTTAACATGAAAATCAATTTGCACTCAGACTAGTCAAAAAGAAGACTTGATATAGTCATGGACAAATCTTTAGTAAAAAATACTTCCTTACAAAATCAGATTTTTTTTGTGTACAAAAAACTTTTAATGTTTTCTGAATGCCCCCCCCCCCAATACACTCACTGGGCTCGGGTTGCCTCAAGGGTGTTTGGAGCTCTAAAGCCACAAGTTGCAAAATAACTATAAACATAAAAAATGCATAATTAAGACATAAGTAATTGAAACCAAAATATTATTTCAAAAGTAGAAATCTACCTAACAAAACAATCTTTTAACTTAAATAGGAGGAAACATTTAAAAAGCAATAATAATACAAGTATAATGAAATTAAATGTAGCGTTTCCTTTGTTCGTGTGAAACACACTGTTTTACATCAATAAACATACTGTAACTGAAAACAACATAGCTGATGTATGAGGTCAATCTCTCTTTTGAGCGTGACTTTAATATTAACCAATGGTATAATTTACTTCTGTAAATATATAAATAAAAATTAAATGTGTCACTTCACTATACTTTTTTCTGGGCATGAATGAGGTGTACTTACAGGTTCTTGTTTATTTGGTCCTACTCCTTGAACTAACGTTTCTTCTGCATTAAGATGTCGTTTTCCAAGCTCTATCTGTTTCTCTGTCTCTTCAACTATTTTCTTCAGATCTGTGATCTGCTTGTTTATTTCATCTTGCAACTTACTGTTTTCTAAAAGAAGTGGGTCTTTGTGACCATCTTTTTGTCTTTGTTTTTTCCTCATCATTTCTCCTTGCATTTTACGCAATCTCTCAACTTCAGCAATTAACACATTTAGTTGTGTCTGTTGTTCTTTTTTCTTTTCAACTAACATCTTTAGCTCTTCTTCTGTCAAATCAACAAATTTTTGTTCTGGCTCCTGTAGAACTTTGGGTGCATTAAATACAGAAGTGGTTTGAACATTAGACTCTAATGGGATAATTCTAAGGTTGGAGCGAGTGGTTACTCTCTTATGAGAAGACTGCAAATATTTTGATGGTAAACTTGGAGGAGGAACTGAAAGTGATGGCATAGTAACATGTTGAGAGAAAGTAGGAACTGCAGGAGGAATGCTATATGGAGGGTACTGGTAACCTGGAGGAGGGAAAGATGTGAAAGATGGAGGAAACAACTGTTCATTTGGAACATTACTGCCTGGTGGAGGACCATATGACTCTGGAAAAGTAGGTGGTGGGTAGGAAGCTATAGGGGTAGGTAAGCTACTATCAGGGTTTCCGTGAAAAACAACACTTAGTTCTGAATGAGATAAGCCAGTGTTAAAAAATGAAGAATTTTGCACTGTCTGGTTAATTTCATAAAGTTCATGCGCCTTTGTACTGATATTATGTACATTCATCTCTAAAGGCCTCCTAGAATCATAAGTTTCGTACTGTGGGCTCCTTCTAGGACTTTGGGGGGAGTAACAAGGGGAGTAACTCCTATGCTCTCTTTGGTGACTTCTCTCTGGAGACCTTCTAGGGCTTTTCTTTTTTCTTTCAAAAGAATCTCTTACTGGGCTTCTTTCAACAGAATAATTTTCCAGTGAGGAGCCTTCATAGAAACCTTGTGACCTATGTCTTCTTTCTAAAAAGTCCCTCCTTGGGCTTGGTGAGCTCCTTCTTTCCAATGAGTATTTTCTTGAAGATTTTTCCATAATTTCTAAAGACCTTCTGGATACTTCTAAAGAATCTTTTCTTAAATTTTCTTCATCAAACTGTTGCCTTAAGGAATGTGGACTCCTTTGCAGACTTTCCAACAAGTATCTTTCCTTCTCCACCATTCTTTTTCCTTGAACATCACACCTAGACTTTTGGTTATATTCAATGTAATCATAATCAGGACTAAATTCTCTTCTTTCAAAATACATTTGTCTTTCATCATCATAACCTGGACAATATTCTTTTCTTTTAATTAAGGCTTTTCTACCAGCATCATAATAGGGACTAAGATCTCTTCTCTCCAATGACGTTTTCCTAACAGTATCATAACCAGGTCTAAACTCTCCTTCTTCTGGTGAGAAGTAACTAACATCATAACCAGGGCTAAGAGTTTGCTTCTGAAAAGAAGTTTTCCTGCCAACATCATGAACAGGGCTAATATATCTCCGTTCGAGTGACATTTTCCTACTAGTATTATACTCAGGACTATGATCTCTTCTTTCATGTGATGCTTTTCTACTAACATGATAACCAGGCTTAAACAGTTTTCTTTCGACAGGTGTTTTCCTGCTGATATCACCATCGGAGCTACGTTCTCTGCTTTCACGTGACATTTTACTACAAGTATCAAAACTAGGGCTATGCTCCCTTCTTTCAATTGAAGTTTTTCTTTGAACATAATGATCAGGACTATTTTCCCTCCTTTTATATGATCTTTTCTGAACACCACAGTCCAATGAAGGACTTAATTTCTTTGGCACTTTAATTATCTTTTTTGATTCTTCAGGGCTGTGTTTCCCTTGTTTTCTATGATAATCAAGTTGTTCATAATTTCCAAGCTCACTGTCTAAACTTCTGAAATGTGCTAATTCTTCTTTCAAAGCTCTCAGCTTCTCTTTAGATATATCCTCATAAGAAGAACTGTAATGAGGATTCATTTTAAGTTCCAACTTCGGACACTTGCTCTTGCCAATGTTATCTGTTTCTAACTTGTGCTTGTGAATTGAAGAGTTTGACAATGGACTGTGAAAATCCTCCAATGATCTGGAATATCTTGAAGCAGAATGATGCCCTTTAACATTTTCCCTTGGTGGAGATTCCCACTTTCCATACATTTGATTTTCTTTGAACTCCTGAGAAATACTTCTTTCTTGATTAGGACTTTTATTTCTTAGAAAAGAGCCCTTATCTTTAGGTAATTGTAAATCTATTGTTAAATCATCATCAGTTGGTTCACTCTTACCTTTGTATGACAGTTTTTGGCTCTCAGATTTTTTGGTATCCTCACACTCAGTCTTCAGTTTCTTAGTGCTAATAATATTTTTACATTTTTTGCTTCTTGGTATTGGACTTGGTGTTCTACTTCTAGTACACACATCTCTTTGATCACTTCTTTCAAAGTTATCTTCTTCATCACTCCATCCACTACTTTCTTTATTACCTGTATTATGATTAAGTTTCTCTCCAATTCCTGGGGGCGAGCCACGCATAAAAGGTTTTTCACTAACTTTTGAGATATTTTCACTATCACCATACAAAAACTCTTCTTCATCATCAATGCTATCAAAATCTAAACCTGGGATTTGTGGAAGATAAATACTGTCTCTCTTCTTTGAAGCACTATTATTAGTTATAGTTTCTTTTCCAAAACTATCAGATTGCTCATCTGCTCTACGAATTTTCAAAATAGATTTAAGAGGCTTGCTACTATTAACTGGTTGTGAAACTGGACTTTTAACTTTGTTTCCAACTAAATCCCTTTCTTGATAGGTTTTTTCCTTTTTTAGGTAGCAGAGATTTTTAATGGTTTCTCTCTCAATCTTTTTTATATTGCTGTCCTCTTCATCTTTTTCTGTATGAGGACTAAGGTCAGGACTGTAACACTGCAGTGCTTCTAATGCTGAACTCGTGTCTGTTCTTGCAAAATTATCCAGTCCAAGTTTTTGTTTCTCCATTAAAGCTCTTTCTAATAACTGGGATCTAAGATCCTTTTCTTCACCATACTGAAGATTATACCTGTTTTCTTTCATCTTTTGTTCTTTTTCACCAGTATTTGAATCATCACCCATTTTTAATGGTTTCTTCTTCATACTTTCTATCTTTTCTTCGTATCTCTCACTACCCTTCTGGTTATCAATTACTTCAGAACTCTCATAGGAGCAACATAAGGCTCCCATAACACCAGATTTTTCATCTTCAGAACTTCTTATGGGTTTTACAGTGAGCTATAATGTTAAAAAAACAACATATTACATAACATTTATACAAGAAATAACTCCATAATTTTGAGAATATATCACAGTAATAAACAAATTGACTTTACACATTTACAAATATATAACATTACAAACAAAACCAGAATTACATATGAAAAAAAAAAAGTTTTAAAAATGTTCATAAAAACACTTATTATTTCCATACAGTATCACACAATTTATACATGTTTATAGATACAAACTATATACAAAAGATTTGTCAGAAAAAAAAACAAAAAAAAACTACACATGGCACAGACACCTATGTACATATCATCTACTGTTAGTGGAAAAAATCAAATTTATTCACTTTCCCCATGACTGCATGTGGAATGGAGTTCCCATATGTTATTAAACAAACTGATTCTTATCTAAGTGTATTAATAATAATTAAACTCCTTACAATGTCTGCCTGATATCAAACTAAATTTAAATTACATTTATTGTCTTATTTATTTCTTCCTACTCCTTCCTCTTCCTTTCGTTTCAACCCTTTCCCTTCTCCTCCTTTATCTTCTGACATTTTTCTTTTCTTCTTCCCACTCCTGTATATCTGCTTCTCTTTCTTTACATTTTCCTTTAGTAAACTCTTTACATCCTTTCCTTTATTCCACTATATTTTCTTTATCAAAGCATTTTAATGGTTATTTCAATGTTTCTTCTTTTCTCTTACATAATACACAATTCTTTTTCTAGTTTTCCAAAGATTATTCTCCTTAATTTTCACAACTAATTTTTGATAATGCTTTACACTCATCCCATTTCAATTCCCTCAAGTATTATTTAATTCTCACTTAATGTTCAAATACCTTTTGACATATGTGCTATATTTTGACTTTGTTACTTTCATTTTCTTGTCAAAAAATACCTATCCTTTATTCTAAGTCTCTTTATAATCCATTTCTTTCCTCAAATTTTCCTTCTCTCTATCCAATAACTCCAAGCCTTTGTATTGCTTCTTTTTTGTTCTCTTCATATTTGTCTCTCACATTTTATATCCATCTTTCTTTTGCTTCCTTTTCATATTCAACAGTTCTCAGTATTGTCTTCTGCCACACTTGTAAGGTCCCTGCTTTTCAATTACTATAAACAGACATATTCCTTTCTATTTCCATAACCCATTTACTATATTTTATCTTCATGTCCATGCATCAGTATTTCTTTAAAAACAGCATCAAGTTTTCTTTCTGAGGTGGATGTTGGTTGGATATAATATACAAATAATTATTCTTGCTTTTTTTGATCAAATAATTGATATCAAGGATGTTTCATTACTGCTATGAAAAATATAATCCACATTCAGTATCCATTATTTCATTACCAAATACCTATACTTCTGATTTCGACTCTTCTTCTTCTGGTGCAAAAATAATAGTCATCTGTATATGCAAGCATTTAAATCTCTCCTTTGTAGTTCCTCCTCCAGCTTGGTTCTTCTTCAAATTTTCTTTTGTCAATTAAACAACAAGCCTAATGAGTAGCATTGTCTCACACCCTATGTAGGGAAAAAATTTCCAATCTGCTTACTTCCCACTATATTGCTTGCCTTGTCATCCTCACATACACATAATTTATATAGTACCTTCCTAATATTCTGTTTCATAAACTGATTAAATCACTAATTCACTCCATTTTTACATCCTACCTATCTTTCAGGGTATCTCTCTGATATCTCTCTCTCTCTCTTGCATCCAGTTATTAATCTTTCTCCTACTATCATTGCATTTATCTTAACCAATTATTTAGTGTGACATTCCTTCATAATGTCCTTGTTTCCAATCTCCCTGTTTATAAATTGGATAAATGACTGGTTCACTTCATTCTTGTGGGAAGATGAGCTGAACAATTAATGGAATTTGACAATCAATTAATCTTCAGCCTCGATAATCAATTACATTCAGATAATCCACTGTTCTTACAAAACTTGATGAGTTGGAATAATCAAAAATAGTAATAAGTGGAACATATCAATTAGTCAATTACTTTCATGAATTATGACACTAACCAATTAAGCTGAAAAGCCTTGAATTAATAAAAAATAATAATAACGCAATTAATAATGGCAATATTTTGATTACTTGGATTGTTGGAATAATCTAAAACAGTGGATACATAGCTACACAGACAGAAATGTTATTTCCCTCATGCATTTGCTTCTGCGATTTGCATGCCACTAGCCTTGAGACAACTCCAACCTAAATTCACATGTTTAATGTGAATTTGCACTGGTACATGATAATTTCATCAAGTGACAATAGTCCTCCACCAACAGGAGAGCAACAGAACTTCAATGTGCAGTAACTCCCCCTATTCTTAAATGAAGAAAAAAAAGGTGCACCAAAAGTGGGGAAGAGAGTTGAATATCTATATGAAATACATTTTCAGGTAAAGAAAATGTTAACTTCTGAGACAATAACTCACCTCTGCATATAAAAATTCTAGAATCCCACAATGAAATGGTGGAGGGACCAGTTCAAAATTTAGCCTAAATGAGATCCCTTCAGCAAGTGCCTGAAGGAAAAGCCATGAAGTGTGGCACCTGATGGCAGGGGCACACCCCATGGAGAACTGTAACTCATCTCAACCAGGGTATACTCTTTGCCTGAGGTGAAAGAGAAGGAAAGGCAAAGGAGCCTGAAGTGTTACAAGAATTGGCAGACAATATTTGCAGAATGTGATTATGACTGAGTACCTACACACAAGTGGTTGGCAAGCCAGTATGTGTAATGTGGTTAGGGCATGATCAGACCATACTATGTGTTCTCATCTCATCTCTACAAGACAGACTCTGGCTGTAGGGCACATTCACTTCTCACCATATTGCCCTAAGTCCAATCAGTGAGGCTTCTCCATGGTTCACCACCCCAGCAGCTAGGAACTGAATTCGCATTGGGGAAACTCAAAGAAGTGCCTGGATTCCTATTGGATCACCAGCTGGAAAGGTCTTTCCTGAAGACTGTGAAACCCTATTTTTAAAAGCAGACAAGCATGACTCAAAGATATGGGTAATCACTTCCCTGGTTCTGGCTTTTTCCTTGATAGTCCATGGAATTGGTATGGTCTGGATCAGACAACGAGTATGTGTTCACCATAAGGACACCTCTAATGGTCTTGCAGAACACCCCCCTCTCACAATGGGAACTGGTAGAGCCAGGGCAGATGGTTTGAATACTTTACATTACCCCCTGGCCCACTGCAGATTTTGGGAAATAAGCATACCCTGGGAAGCAACACCAGCTACCTGGCAAGATCCAGTTTGACAGAAGAGAGAAAAAAGGAATAAATAAATATTATATATATATATATATATATATATATATATATATATATATATGTGTGTGGGTGTGTATATATATATATACATACACACACACACTATTTGCAGAATGGCAACTGAGGAAAGTCCAAATCCTACTGGAGATGTAACAACCAAATGAAGAAGATAATGAGTGATGAAGCTGCGAGTTGTAGTCAACACGCCCATCTGGAGGATCTTGTCTGGCCAAAAGAGGTGGTCTGCCACAAGGTTCCTAATTTCTGGTACATGGCAGGCAATAAGACAAACCCAATGTGAATGGCCCCAGAATAATAAGTACAATGCCCAAAAGGTTCTTGCAATGCAAAAGGGTCTTGATGGTTGCTGTAAGAAATGGCCATGAAATTGTTGGGATGGATCATGACCAAGTGATACATCAGAAGGAGCAGGAAATGGAAACATGCCTACAAACAACAAGAAGTTTGAGCATGTTGATGTGGAGTGAACACTCAATCTGTATCCAAATGCCAGAAATCATGTCATTATTCAGAGAATTATCCCAACCTGAGAAAGAAGCATTAGTGAAGAGCTGGAGACCCACTCTAGGAGTGGTAAGGGAGCACCAGAATTAGTATTAGCACTGTTTAGCCACCATGACAATTCCTTGAAGAGAGGAGAAGGTTGATTCACAATTGAGGACAATGGATACTGAGAAGATTCCAGTAGTCTTCCAAGGTACATACATGCATGCCCCAAAGAAATAAGGGATTCCAAGGAAGCTAGAATCCCCAAAAGTGAAGGAACCTCTCCCACAGGATGAGAATGAGAAGTGCAAATCTTGGTGACCAAACATGCTATAGCTTCCAGGAAAAAGGAGAAGGCTGAGACAACAGTTGAAGAAAATGCCAAGACTATCCAAGACATGCATGCCCCAAAGAAATAAGGGATTCCAAGGAAACTAGAGTCCCCCAAAGTGAAGGAACCTCTCCCACAGGATGAGAATGAGAAGTACAAATCTTGGTGACCAAACATGCTATAGCTTCCAGGAAAGAGGAGAAGGTTGAGACAACAGTTGAAGAAAATGCCAAGACGTACCAAATATTGAGTGGGCCTGAAAAAGGACTTGAATATCTTGACAAGCCACCTCAACTGAGCTGCCTCCTGTAAAAAAAAGAGGTGTGAGAAGAGGATACCTTCTGGGAAAGGGCCAAGAGGAGCCAATTGTCCATGTAGAAGTGGAATCTCAATTCCAGACCATGAAGGTGGCAAGTAAAGGTCCTGATGATTTGACTGAATACATAAAAGGCCAACATTATGAAGAAGAGAGTGGCATGGAATTGGAAGATGCGATTTCAATGGATAAGTTGTAGAAAACATCTGGATGACATGGCATTTGAGATGTGGAAGAAGGCATCTAACATGTTGACCCTGATCATCCACAGTTTAAGTGAAAAGGACCACCAGAAAGAAAAAAAATATTCCATCTGAAATCATGGAATGACTAGAAATCAGTTGAGAGACAATATGTTGATTACCAGACACCAGTTCCCAGTCTCCTTGGGGACCACAAGAGGATGAGAGTAAAAGCCATACTCTCTTGATGGCATTTGGCCAAAAGACCCAATACTGCATTTTTGAGATGCTGAAGATAGACTGGGTTGGATGAAAGGGAAAAGGAGTTGAGAAGAAGAGATAGGGGTGTTGAGAAGTGGAC